AGGCATGCGACTTAGGAGACGAATATATTGGGCCATTGTCCTATTGTTCATGCTTCAATTGGTGACTGTTTTTCTCGGCGGGGTGATTGTCTTTGTTGTGGCCTTCAGCTTTAGACATGATGGCATTCAAAAACTGGTTCCGCATTTTTTGATTCTTTTCAGTGCCGTATTGTTAGCCATCGCGAATCGATTTTTTAGTCCCTGGCTGGTTCGTCGATGTAGATTAATGTCGAGACGGGAGTTCGAGATCTACTGGTATAATGCATCGGAGCCCAAAAGCTGGCCGTCTTCGTGGTGGGAGTCCCCAGGCGAGAATGCTCCAGACATCAGTGATCGAACACAGATCGATAGTCGAAAATAACCGAGCGTCCAGTAGCTCATCCCGCACGGGTGCCACTGGCCTCCAGCCAGTGCGTTTCCTGGGCTTGTCGCAAAATCCAAAAACACCTTCCAAGCAACCATCACCACTCACCCAGGGGCGAACTCTCTAAGACCTCAGTGAGGTCTCACCAAGTGCAATGCTCCATCAACATGATCCTCCGACAAAAATTGTCGGCATTTTCCCGACACTTCACGTCGTGCCGTTGTGTCGTCGTGGTTAACCCCTCTTCAACACCACAACCGACCTCCAGCACCACAACCAACCCTCACCACCTAACCAGCAGGGTGGCCGAAAACTTCGGTTGAGATTCGACCTCGGCTTCGGCATTATTGTGCGTGGGTTCTGCGTCTTGCCTGGGGACGTGGAGTCGCGAGGGTGGGGTTGTCTGCGGGGGTCGACGGACCGTTGTGGAGGCTCTGGTCGAGTGGGTTTGAAGTAGCGGAGGTTTTGCGAGATTAGAGCTGCGTCCGGAGGCGTCTATGTGCATTCATACGACCCAAGACGTAGCAAAGACATCGGCGAGCAATCGCAGGTGGATGCCCAGCCCGATGGCCAGGCGATCTGGCGCGGGGATCAATCGCAAAGCCGCGTGCCGTCACCGACAACCCACAACACAGCCCTCACGACCATTCCCAACCGCGTGCGTGGTTCCGGAACCACATTTTTCTTCCAACACGGAGACAACACAGAAAACAAATGTAGGGTGCAGTCAAGCGCAGCGAAGACGCACCAACCTTAACCGTGAGAACATGTAAGCTTGCACGCACGAACTGATTGCCGGTTGCGCAGTTCGCTTGGATCATCCGTGCCCCATTTCGCGTGGGCGAGCTTGTAGGTCATGCACCCCTGTGCATGACAATAGATGCCTCGAAACGAGAAAAGGCGTGAGGATTTCGCATTGAGAATTTCCCTAGAACAAGTTCTGGATTCTCCTAGACCGCATACGTTCCGGGTGGCTTTCCATTCAAGCCCCGAAAGATTTTTGCTGCGCTACCCCGACGTTACCGGACTGACGTTCTGTGACGACACCGGAAAGCAGGTCGCAGAATGGCATACTCGAAAGCTTGTGAAAGAACCCTGCGACGACTTCGTACTGGACTCCGGTGCAAGAATCTCGTTCGACCTCTATGCGAGTATCAATAACTCGGACGAATCCGAACGGTGGTTTATTGAGATTCTACCCGGCCGGTACAGCATTCACTTCGAGTACGAGATTGATAGAGAAGCTCGCTGGTATGACTATCTGCAGAAACGCTCCCATTTTGTTGCCATCACTCCGATCTGGCGAGGCAGCGTTCGTTCAAATTCCATCGAGTTCGAACTTTCGCAGTAACCGAAAGTTCATATGACGGGCCCCAGAAATGCACGCGGGTGCATGACCTACGTCGAATGCTTCAACCTAGCACCGTTGTACAAGCCAACGGTGGAACCCGTGAAGAGACGGATGTAGTCGAGAGAGATGAACCCCTACAGCTTCGGCAGGTTCTCGCCGGGGCTGGTGATGGTGGGTTCTTTTTCGGCGGCCAGCTTTTGGGCGTGCTTCACGGCAGCCATGGCCACGGCGATTTCTTGGCGGGAGAAGTACGGATACCGCTGACCGTTCGCGCGGTGGATTTCCTTGGCGGCTAGCTCTTCCCACGACATGTCGTTGTTCAAGTGCCAGGCGGCCACTTGGGCGACACGTTGATTGACTTCACCGCGACCGAACATCTCGAGGACTTCACGCACGGCCGGCTTGGTGGTCACGGTTTCCAACTTGCGGATCTCATACTCCATCGCCGGGCGAGGGTCGGGCTTACCATGTTCGAGGCACACCGTATCGACCTTGATGTCTTTCACCTTCTCCGGAGGAATGTTGAAGTTACCTCCACCACCCCCACCGAAACCGCCGCCACCACCGCCGGAGGCTTGTCCGCCACCACCGCCACCGCCACCGCCACCGAAGCCGCCTTGGGCCAGCACGTGAACCCCAGCGAAGGCGTCGGGCAGATGAACGTCGATCGGTTGATCAGTTTTGTTTTGAACGAGGATGCGAGCCTGCTTGGCATCGCGGGGAATGTACTTCACATCGACCATGCCAGCGTCGATTGCGTCGAACAGTTCGATGGAGTCGGTCGTTGCGGCCCCTTTGTCACGCTCGCCGGCGAACAACACTCCGGCGGCAACGAACACCATGGCGGTCGAACCGACGAACATCATCGCGACGCGATTTCGCATGAACCAAGGCTTTCTCATGACCTGCAACCTCCGCTATGGTCCGCCGGCACACTTCACCAGCACAGGTGGGGCCGAATACTTCGGACGAATCTCTCGTGTTCCTGAGACAAATTACCTGGGCCTTCGCGCAAGGCGAGCGGCGAAACCCAGTCCTTTCACAGTAATTCCTCCGCGAGGCCGAACCAAGCAAAAACCGGCCCCGAGGCCCAAAATCGAGGGAAACGAGCCCCTCTATGGGTCATCCGGCAGGGCTCTAAGGCATCACGTCGGGCTCAATCTGATAGCCTTCGGCCAGGGCATTCGTCCCATTGAACAGCGACACGACCGCCATCAGCTCGCCCAGGGCCTCGTCGCTGAGCCCCAATTTCTTCACCGCGACGGTATGCGAATTCACGCAGTACCGGCACCCGTTGGTGGCCGAAACCGCCACCGCGATCATCTCCTTGGTCAGCGGATCGAGGTGACCGGGGGCCATCACCGCCTTGAGCCGCGACCAGGTCTCCTCGAGCAGCGGTGGGTGCGAGGCCAGCGTCTTCCAGAAGTTCGGCACGAAGTCGATGTCTTTCGTGGCCTTGATATCGTCGAACACCGCCTTCACCTCGGCCGAGGCTTGCGACTCCTCGACCATTTCAACCGTCGCCCCACGGGCAGGTTTCGCAGCATCGCTCATGGAAGTTCCTCGGTTCGTTTCAAAATGAATGGTTGTAGACTGCCTCTAGTTCCCGTCGCCGTCCTGCGTGCCTTCCCGCAACAGAGACACGGCCACCACTTCGGTATCATCACGGGCATAGACCGTCGAGCCCGCGTAAGCCGGATGGGCCCACGTGGGGCCGATGATCGGCGTGCGCGACTGTTCGTGATAACCCTCGGGATTGAGTCGGGCCAGAATCAATTCACCCTCGGCGTTAAGGATCAGCACCTGGTCCTCATGCCCGGTCCACACCAGCGTGGCCTGAGGGTTGCGGCCCCGCGGGGTCATGCGGTGCTGGCGATCGTCCCATTTGATCTCGCCCGTCTGCAGCTCGAAGCAGGTCAGCCCGAGCGACTTGTCGAGAAGATAGACAAATCCTTCACGCGCCAGCGGCTGCGACATCAACCCTCTCAGGAAGCGTCGATCCTCCCATGCGACTTCAGCCTCACCTGTGTCAAACGCCGGGTCGATCGTCTTCGAACCTTCCCAGTAGCCGGATACAAAGACCAGCCCCTGGTGATAGATGGGCGTGGCGATCGACACCCCGTAGGTCACTTCATACGGAACACTCCACCGAATCGTTCCATCCGCCGGATCGATGCCCAACACATGCAGCGGCGACCAACAGACAAGTTGCTGGTCAGGCGAGCGGCCAATGAGTATCGGCGTGGCGTAGCCCGCCGGGTCGCTGCCGGAGCGCCAGACCAACTCCCCGGTCTCACGATCGAACGCCACCAGGCAGGCATCGGGCTCTCCGCCGGGATGGACGATCACCAGGTTCCGCCAGATGAATGGCGAGGCCGCCAAGCCCCACTCCGGGATCTTTGCCAAGCCTTCGGCCACGAGGTCCTGCGACCAGAGCGGCTTCCCGGTCTCAGCGTTCAGGCACCACAGATGGCCCAGGGCCCCTAACGTATAAACGCGTCCGTCGAAAACCGTAGGTGCCGCACGGGGCCCCGATCCGTAGTCCAAGTCGCCGTAAGTCACGGGATACTCATGCGTCCACAGTCGATCGCCCGAGTCGGCATCGAAGCACAGCAACCGCTCGACCTCCCGGCCGAAGCCTTCAGTCTCCGGCGTCTGACGGTCCATTACATAGGTGCGGCCATCGGAGACGATCACCCCGGCGTACCCACCACCAACCGGTTGTCGCCAGCAGACCGGCAGCCCACCCTCAGGCCAAACTTCTGGCAGTCGAGGGCCGTGCCAAGTGCCATCGCCCCGCGGACCACGCCAGCGGGGCCAATCCTCAGCCATAGCGGGAAGGAAGGTAGCAAGTGCGAGCAGCCCGACGAGCTTCCACAGAAAGATGCTTTGGAGCATGGCAGTGGTGCAAGGTTTCATGGCAGAAGTTCCCACCCGGGTGATGCGATGAACCGTCTACGGCTGAAAGCTGGATTAAGCTGGGTCCGATCGTACCATCGGGCCGCCCACGTCGTCGATTCAGTGGTCGTTCCTTGCACTCGCAAGGAATCCGCGACACGTTGCCGCACCCACCTGAGGTAGCTTCAAACGAAAACCACAAGCCCTGGATAAGGCCAGACTATTGAATCCGAAGACAGGCCCCAGATCACCGGTTTATTCGCGTTTACAACCGGCGAGTTTCACGAGAGGTTAGCACCGCAGACCACGTTATTCAGGTCGAGATAGGAAACGATTGCGATTTTCGTACGGCCAAGCGAAGACAGTCAATTGACACCTTTAGAGGCCATGAATTACACTCTGCGATTTCCCCGGATCCTCGTGATCGGTGCTCCGAGATCTTTCTTCGTAACGCCTTGTAACGGACCGCAATTCGTTGGACAAGAGGCGAGATCGAGTGGTTACCTCCGGAATCTTCTGCTCCGTGATGGTGAACCGCCCAGGCACTGAAACAGGCGGATCTAGCTGAGGTTGAGCGGTTCCCAGCGGCGTTGTCAGCCCATCGTGGCGAAGGGAACCCAAAAGCCACGGCACCAACGATTTGCAGTGATAACCCTCCGCGCCAGAGATGATAGTAAGTCGCGGCGAAAATAGTTCAGCGGCCGCAGATTCCCTCGGTTTCCGGCCTGCCTTATTGATTCATTATTGGGAGAGTGAAAAGGTATGAAGATCCTCCGTCGTGGCTGGTCCGTAAATACAAACTTAGTAAAGCAAGTTTCGTTGCTTTTATTGGTTCTGCTGGCTTGTTCCTTGTTTCCTGCCGACTGCCTGGCCCAAGAGGCGACTGGCTCTGAAGCCGCCAGCGAAATCGTGGACGCCGAAGGCGAGCTTGCCAGTGCCGACGCCGAACTCTCCGGCACGAATCCCGTGCTGCTGTGGATTGTCACCACGGCCGCATCGATCATCGCTTTGGTCTTTGCCTTCAGCTTCTACAGCAAGATGAGCAAGGCCGATGGCGGGACCCCAACGATGATTGAAATTGCCAATCATGTTCGCTTGGGTGCCAACGCTTATTTGAATCAGCAATACAAGGTCGTGTTTCTGGTCTTCATCGTGATCTTCGCCCTGTTGTGCGTGGCCGCCTATGGGTTGCACGCCCAAGATCGCTGGGTGCCTTTCGCCTTCTTGACCGGTGGTTTGTTCTCCGGCTTGGCTGGCTGGTTCGGAATGAAGACCGCCACGTTGGCCAGCAACCGCACCGCCGCCGCTGCTCAGAAGTCGCTGAACCAAGGGCTACAAATCGCCTTCCGCTCGGGTGCTGTGATGGGCCTGGTGACCGTCGGCCTGGCATTGATCCACACCACGATCTGGTTCGCAGTGCTGTACTGGGGCATCCCCGCCATGGGCTTCGAAACCATGGACCTGGAGCATATCACCGTGACGATGCTCTGCTTCGGAATGGGTGCCAGTTGCCAGGCTCTATTTGCTCGCGTGGGTGGTGGTATCTTCACTAAGGCCGCCGACGTCGGGGCCGACTTGGTTGGTAAGGTCGAACAAAGCATCCCCGAAGATGACCCCCGCAACCCGGCGACCATTGCCGACAACGTGGGCGACAACGTGGGCGACGTGGCCGGTATGGGTGCCGACTTGTTCGAGTCGTACGCCGGATCGATTCTGGCCTCGATGACGCTGGGTGCGGCAGCCTTCATCGCCGAACCAGCCGCTCAAATGAACGCCGTCTTCCTCCCCATGCTGATCGCCGCCGTGGGCATCATCTTGTCGATCGGCGGTATCTTCCTGGTAAGCACCGACGAAAACGCCACTCAAAAGACGCTGCTCGCCGCGTTGGCTAAGGGAATCAACGTCTCGACCGTTCTGGTCGGAATCATCTCGGTGGGAATTTGCTACTTCCTGCTCCCCAGCGCTCCGATGCTGGGGCTGAGTGTTGTGGTTGGCCTCGCAGCCGGTTGGGCAATCGGTAAATGGACCGAATACTCGACCAGCGACGAATTCGCCCCCACCAAGCGACTGGCTGACCAAGCCCAAACCGGTCCCGCGACCATCATCATCGGCGGTATCGCCGACGGTATGTACAGCGTCTGGGTACCGATCATCATCATCAGCGGTGCCACCCTCCTGGCTTTCGGTTTCGCCAACCAAGGCGACTTCACCGATCCAGCCGCCTTCGGGCTTGGCCTCTACGGTGTGGGCATCGCCGCCGTCGGTATGCTCAGCACCCTGGGGATCACACTGGCCACCGACGCTTACGGCCCTATCGCAGACAACGCTGGTGGTAACGCTGAAATGTCTGGCCTCGAGCCAGTAGTTCGTCAACGCACCGATGCCCTGGATAGCCTCGGTAACACCACGGCTGCCACCGGAAAGGGTTTCGCCATTGGTTCGGCTGCCCTTACAGCCTTGGCTCTGCTGGCCGCCTACGTTGAAGAGGTTCGCCACGGTTTCGATCGCTGGGGCGATTCGGCCGTGTCGCAAGAAGCCGAGCCTGGGCTCTACAAAGTATCGCCGCAGTTGGTCGTCGAAATTCGTGGCGAAGGCGAAGCCCGTCAGTCGCGCAAGTGGCTCGTCTACCCCGGCGACGCGATGAAGAACCTGTGGAAAGACATGAGCCTGACCGATGGCACCACGCCGATTCCCGCGAACAATCTCGAAGCCACCGGTGAAGAAGTCTTCTTCGTTGGCTCAAAGAACCGCTTACTCAACCTGCAAGATGCCACGTTACCGGGCTTCATGAACTACTTTAATGTCACGGTAATGAACCCCAAGACACTGGTCGGCATTCTCATCGGAGCAATGGCCACGTTTGTGTTCTGTGCGTTAACCATGCAGGCAGTCGGTCGCGCGGCCAAAGAAATGGTGGAAGAAGTGCGACGACAGTTCCGCGAGTTGCCCGGCATCATGTCGGGTACCGACAAGCCCGACTACGAACGCCCGGTGGCGATCAGCACAAGAAGTGCTCAGCGCGAAATGATCATCCCCTCGCTGCTGGCCCTGCTGCTGCCGGTGCTCACCGGTTTGGTCTTGGGCGTCGGCGGAACGATGGGTCTGCTGGTGGGTGCCCTCAGTGCCGGTGTCTGCTTGGCGATCTTCATGGCCAACTCCGGTGGATCGTGGGACAACGCCAAGAAGTTCATCGAAGCCGGAGCACACGGCGGTAAAGGAACCGACGCTCACAAGGCCGCCGTGGTCGGCGACACCGTGGGCGATCCGTTCAAAGACACCAGCGGTCCCAGCCTGAACATTCTCATCAAGCTGATGAGCATGGTCGCCGTGATCGTGGCCGGCATCGTCGTCCGCTTCAGCCTCGAAGCCTTCGGCATCTTCTAAAGACTGGGGGCCTTCTCCATATATAGATGTAGATAGCCCAACTCAGTTCAACACAAAAAGCCGCAAGACAGCGCCGCAAAGGCTTACTGTTTTGCGGCTTATGTGTTGTATAGGGGGGCATACTCTTGCCCTCTGCCGAACCACTTTTCTGCCTGCTGAAAAATTTGACACTGCCGGTTTCAAATCGTTAGACTACGGGGACTTAGCTGCCCCGCCTTTGATGCGCTGCCGGGTTTTGGTGGCGTTCAAATCTTCCTCTGATGGGAGGTGTCTGCCGTGCTTGTAATTCCTGGTGGTAAGAGCAAAGACACGTGTGATGGTGTCACACGACGCGAGCTGTTGCGCGTTGGCGGGTCGGCCATGTTTGGCATCAGCCTGGCGAACATGCTGAAGCTGAAAGACGCTCAGGCCAACGATGCGGCAGGCGGCCCCGGCTGGAACAAAGCCAAGAGCGTGATCCTGGTCTACCTGCAAGGTGGCCCCAGTCATCTCGACCTGTGGGATCCCAAGCCAAACGTTCCTGACAATGTAAAGAGCGTCTTCTCACCCATCGACACGAAGACGCCGGGAATCAACGTTACCGAGTTGATGCCCAACCTGGCCCAAGTAACCGACAAGATGACGTTCATCCGTTCGATGAGCTACACGCCGGTCGGTTTGTTCAACCACACGGCCGCCATCTATCAAATGCTCACCGGCTACACGGCCGACAAAGTAAGCCCCTCAGGTCAGTTGGAACCGCCCAGCCCGAAAGACTTCCCCAACGTCGGCTCACTGGTGGCCAAGCTGAAACCACCGACGGAGCCCATGCTGCCGTTCGTGATGATGCCTCGCCCGCTGCAAGAGAGCAACGTGGTGAACAAGGCCGGCACGGCCGGGTTCCTGGGTCGCGCGTATGACCCCTATTACTTGTTCCCGCCGGGCGACGACCTGGATATGACCAAGATGGAGTCGATTAAGGTCGACGACCTGCAGCTTCGTCCGGAAATCTCCACGGCCCGACTTGAACGCCGCGCCAAGCTTCGCGACTTGATCACCGAGGGCATGCCTTCGATCGAAGAAGCGGTGGCCAAGTACGATGTCGATGCGTATTACCAACAGGCGCTGAACCTCATCGCCTCGGGTCGTGCCCGCGAAGCATTCGATCTTTCAAAAGAGACGGATGCCGTGCGAGACAGTTACGGCGTGAATCCCTACGGTGAGAGTGGCCGCAACCCGTTCGGTCAGTGCTGTTTATTGGCTCGTCGTTTGGTCGAAGCCGGCACTCGCTTTGTTGAAGTGAACTGGCCCAAGGTGGCCAACAGCGACAAGCATTCGCTGGACGTCCACACCAATCTCACGCAGCGGATGAAGACGTGGATCGCGCCGATGATGGACACCGGAATCTCGGCCCTCATCACCGATCTCGATCAGCGCGGTCTGCTCGACGAAACGCTGGTGGTTGTGGTGGGTGAATTCGGCCGCAGCCCGAAGCGCGGGGTGAGCACTTCGGGGAACAGCAACTCCGACGATGGACGCGATCACTGGCCCTACTGCTACACGGCCTTGCTCGCCGGTGCGGGGGTGAAACGTGGCTTCACGTACGGAGCCTCCGACGCCACGGCTTCGGCCCCGTTGGATTCGCCGGTGCATCCGACCGACCTGCTGGCCACGATCTATCACAGCTTGGGCATCGCCCCCGATACGATCATGTACAACCACCTCAATCAGCCGCGCGAGTTGGTGAAGGGCAAAGCCCTGACTGGTTTGCTTAGCTAACCGGCCCTAGAGGTGTCGTTGAGATCGATCGCTCGAGCCTGACAGGCCAGAGCCCGATTCTTGCGCACCCTTTCCCGCTAACATCTCCCCGCGTGTCGCACTCTGCGTCATCATTTCGCACGCTCTTTCGCCGCCTGCTGGCCACTCGTGAAAAGGCCTGAACTACAGCGAATTTGTGGCGATTACCGCCCCCAGTCCGCCCCCATTTCCTGCCACAAAGGGCGATTTGGGTAGCTTGCGAATGAATCGGGGTTGGGCCAAAATAAAGGTTTGTTTTGAGCAGAGAATGCTTGTTGATCCGATCAATTCCGGGAAGCGAAAACATGTTCCGATGCTGCTGTGTTTGTTTGACCCTCTTGTTCAGCGGAGCGATTCTCTCGCCCGCGGTGGCCGACGACGGCTCGAAACCGGTAACCTACACCGACGTTTCCGAGGCCGGTCCCGACTATCAAATTCAGGGTGAGTATGAAGGCGAATTCGAAGTAAACGGCGATGCGACCAAGGTTGGTTTCCAAGTCATCGCGTTGGGTGAAGAGAACTTCCGCGGCATCGCCATGTTGGGCGGATTGCCCGGCGACGGTTGGGATGGATTCACCAAGCTCGAAGCTGAAGGTACTCGCAACGAAGATGGCCTGGTCGTGCTCGAAGCGGCCGAAGGCACGGCCGAAGTGAAAGACGGCAAGATCATCGTCAAGTCGCTCGACGGCCAAGAGCTAGGCACCTTGGAACGCGTTGAACGTAAGAGCCCCACGCTCGGCATGAAACCGCCCGAGGGAGCCGTGGTGCTGTTCGACGGGACGACTTCGGAAAACTTCGAAGGCGGTAAGATGACCGAGGAAGAGTTCCTCATGGCCGGTTGCAAGAGCAAGCAATCGTTCGATGGCGACTTCACCCTGCACATCGAGTTCCGCACGCCTTTCATGCCCACGGCCCGCAGTCAGCAACGCGGCAACAGTGGTGTGTACCTGCAAGAACGTTACGAAGTGCAGATGCTCGATTCGTTCGGCCTCGAAGGCCTGCACAACGAATGCGGTGGAATCTATTCGCTGCACGACCCCAACGAGAACATGTGCTTCCCGCCGCTCACTTGGCAAACCTACGATATCGACTTCACGGCGGCCAAGTTCGACGACGCAGGCATGAAGACCGATAATGCCAAGATCACCGTGCGTCATAACGGCGTGGTGGTGCACGACAACTTCGAACTAAAGAGCGAGACCCCCGGCGGTCAGCCAGAAGGGCCTGGCGGCGGGGCGTTCCTGTTGCAAGACCATGGCAACCCCGTGGTGTATCGCAACATTTGGGTTGAGAAGAAGTAACCCGAAAACTTCCTGCTGAAATCCAAACCCGCCGTTGGCACAGTTCTCCAGCGGCGGGGTTTTTTCTTGCCCTGCAGAATAGAATACGAGGGCGAGCGAGCTCGATGTGGTTGCACGCTCGCCCGTTCGCATCACCTAGTAGTGCACAGTCATTCCTCATGCTTTCCACCGTGGCGGAGCCTACCGTGTTGAATTCATCTCCAGCGAAGCGTTTTGGCACTCACTCCGTCGTTGCGGGCTTACTTGTGACCGCAAGCTTGTTGGCCGCTTCGTGTACGAACGCCCTGGCGGGTGAGCGGCCCGTACGCATCGCCATCGACCCGGCCAAGGCTGGCCCGGACTACAAAGTGCAGGGCGAGTACGTGGGCGAACTCGATGCTGGCGGCACCGTGGGCATTCAGGTTTACGCCCAGGGTGATGGAGTGTTTCACGCCACCGCCTATTACGGAGGCTTGCCCGGCGAAGGTGCGGAGAATGTAAGCGTGGTGCATGCCGAAGGAAAAACCGAAGGCGACAAAACCACGCTGCATAGCGAACACGGTTCGGCCGTGATCGCCGATGGCAAGATGCAACTGCTCGACGTCGACGGCCAAGAGATCGGCATGTTGAAACGTGTCGAACGGGAGAGTCCCACGCTCGGGCTCGAACCACCGGAGAACGCGATCGTACTCTTCGACGGCAGCGATACCGACGCATTCGCGCGAGCCACCATGCGGGACAACCTGCTGATGGCGGGGACCGTCACCAAACAATCATTCGGCGATTGCCTGCTGCACCTCGAGTTCCGCACCCCGTTCATGCCGTTCGCCAGGGGGCAAGATAGGGGGAACAGTGGTGTCTACATCCAGAACCGCTACGAAGTGCAGGTGCTTGATTCGTTTGGGCTCGAAGGCAAAGACAACGAATGCGGCGGGCTGTACTCCTACCGAGCCCCCGATGTGCACATGTGCTTCCCACCGCTGGCCTGGCAAACCTACGACATCATCTTCATCGCCGCCCGCTTCGACGAAGAAGGCAACCGCCTGACCCCGGCCCGCGTCACCGTGCAACACAACGGGGTCACCATTCACGACGACGTGGAACTACCCGAGGAAAGCCCCGGCGCGGCCAACCAAGAAACCGAACATCACGGCCCCCTGCAGCTCCAGTTCCACCTCAATCCCGTGCAGTACCGCAACATTTGGATTGTGGAGCAGGGCGAAGAGAACGAGTCGTAGTTGGAACAGTTGAGTTACGTTAGCTACACAAACAACTTCTCAACTCCGATAGTCGGCAGCCTACTCCTCGATGTAAGCTGTCGTTCCATTCTTATCGCGTACGAACGTCAGGGTAGCACGTTCTTCCACGCCCGATGAGCGGTTGCTTTTTGGGGGCATCAAAGTCGAGAAGTCGATCTTCTCCCTACCGTCGATGGTCAACAGGGCGAGGAACTGCTCGGGATCGCTCGACTCACTTAAGACCCTTGCCGATCCGTCAGCAAACAGAAACGGGCCAACCCGCTTCTCCCCTCGCGTGTAATCCAAGGCAAACCCGCCTTTGGTACCTAACTGCGGCAAGGGATCAGCAAAGCTCAAGTCTTCAGGCTTCGTCCAAGGAATCTTAGCTTCCTCCGATACGGGCCCGAGCATTAACGTGTTGGACAATCCATCACGAATCTGGGCGAACTTGATCCCGCTATCGTAATTGAGCTTTCCATCTTCAATCGCACCGCCCTCGGCCGAGAACAACATGCCATCGCCCGTCAGCGCTGCGACATGCGTGTACTGTGAACGTTTACCCTCTTGCTCAAGCGGATCGCCGTAAACTGCTGGCTTCTTGTCCAACAGCTTCATGTTGTGCGGGCTGTCCCAAGGCTCATCGAGTCGATACTCCATGGAAAGGGCTTGCTGACTGTCCAAGTAAGGCAAGAGCAAAGCACGCCAA